CAGGCAATAAGTCCAGCAGCTATCTCAATCAATCGTCAGTTATGGAAAGATCGGGTTCCAAAGGCCGGATCCCTTGTGAATCAAGTCACGAAAAATTCAAGAATCGGCAACAGGCCATGGGCCTATGTCTTCAACGCCGACACTTCTATTCTATTCTATTACATCCAGGGCAGTGGTGGTCTTCGGCAGGCGACCCGATTGGAATATATCCATGAAATCTTCCTTCTCTATCGCCCTCGCCCTACTTACCCGGTAGCGACTCGCGTTCTTGTCAGCTGAGCTGCTGAGCATAAGCTACATAACGTTGTAGGTACTTTATTATCATATTCAGGAGCTGCGGTCTTTACTTTAGCCGGGAACAGCCGTGTGCATGCCCATTACTCCTATCCATGTAAAAAGGATTGTACAGTCTACTGCAGTCGGAGTAGAGAACGATATGCTTATATACTCAGACTCATCCAGACTCATACTTAGCCGATAATAGTAGTGTATAAGCTTCGAAATATAAGGCTCTTTTCCTGTAACCTGTAAGCCGTATATAATCTTCAAATAATACTGCATGACCCGCCATGCTGTGGCTCAATAATCCTCCAGATCACTATCACATCCCGAACTCAACCTTAGGTCATATAACTATTAGGTGAGGGTGGCAAGAAACGCGCCCCCATACAGTGGCGCCCGACCAAACTGAGTGAAGTGATTCAGATCAGTGAACTCACTTAATCCTGAGTACAGCAAGAATTCCGAAATACAGCTCTTCAGCATTTACTACTTCCGCTGTCAGCAGCCACAAACTATAACAAGATCCAAGTTTTGATTGGCGCGTTTTAAAATTTTGTCTGCGACTAACGCAGCGTGCGATTGAGCCTGCAACTGACTTGGAGAAACAGTCTCAGATAATACAGATCCGACGGTGAGTCGTGATCGGTACTATTTTATTGCTACGTTTAAAGAATTTGATGGTTAGACAAATGAAGAGAATCATTTTCAACACCAGCGAAATGTATAGCAGCTGCGGCATACGCTGCAGAAGCCAGCATGAGCAACAAAAACGCCGCCAGCAGCCGACAACGGTCGAGCGATGGCACGGACGCTAACTGAAGAAAACCCTGCGCGGTAGGACGGGGCAGGGAGGGGTTCCATAACGTTTTGCTAGGGCGTCGGTAGACGACCCAGTCGGCTCCACCACGAGAAGGCCGTTGCACCAAAATGTGTGCCACCTCTCCCCGGATGATGTGCCCCACCTCTTCGACTGCCCTAACGACCCAACTCCCCTCAGCACCATAGACCTTTGGAGGGACCCAGCTGCGGTCGTGCGCTTGCTCCAGCCACGGCTGGACCAGTGACGCCGGGATCGGGCGCGGGGCAACAACAACAACAACGTTAACTGGAATTGGGTGCGTGCTGACCTCCGGTCAAGATTTTTGAAAAGGTAATTCACGCTGCATAAAAGCTATTTTGCTAGCGTCAAAAAATTGAAATTCACGTCACATTCGGCAGTTAACAAAAAGTTCAATTAACAAGTATTCACAACAATCCTAAAAATGCTGAAACGTTCCCTTTTGCATGTCAGCATCCCGAAAGAAAAAAAAACAGAAACAATGTAATAAGAACGTTCGGCACGGTCACTTTTGCCTTCCCACCCGCCCCTCTCTCAGCCTTCCTCTCCCCACGACCCCACTCTTATGATCCTCCTCTCCCTCAACCTCCGCACGTTTTCCTTAAGAAGCGCTTCACATGCATTTCGGCCCAGCAATAAAATCGGTTTCACTGAGTTCTTGTGCCACAGACAATTTGTAGGGATGAAATTGCAGTTCTTTGTGGAGTATTCGCACCAACCACCAAGCTGCTATTTAAAGTCGCCAGAACCGCAGCGTGTTAAAGTGCTTAACGGTGTGGAGAATACATAAATGCCTCTCTAACTCTCTCTACGTTTTCGGGTGATGTGGCAGTCTGTTGACCTCCAGACACTCTTGCATTCACACTTCCAATTGCCTTAAATGTGTTCACCAACGTAATAATCGATTTACAATCAGGAACCCTACCTGAAGGACGAATACGGAGCCGAGCACAGAATGCCCTCTGAGTAATGATACTGGAATGGCCATTTGAAACGTACGCCTCGGAAGCAAACGCACGCTGCTCACTTGTCCAGTGCATGGTGGCAACTGACTAGGCGGGACAAAACTTCCCCGCCCTTTTTCTACAACATCTGGCTGCCTGGCGCGAAATACAAAATATGATATTTCTGTGAATCACCGTGTGTTTTCACGTTGCATCAATATTTAAAAAAAGAAGGATGTAGTCGAGGTGAGAGCAAACAATGCCTTAGATGAGCTGTTTCTAGAAGCCAGGGTAGAAGAAAATGAAGATTTCGGTTATTTTACCTTAATTTATTGAGATTGTCAGCGACAAGCGTTTCTGTAACTCACTGGTTCTGCAAGGCTCTCGTTCAATCTATCTGTGTTCAAACATATATAAACTTGGTTGGACTTTGCTCCAGAGCCGTCAGGCTTCGGGAGGTCTGAGAATCCTAACATGTCCTGGTTTCGCATTCACGTAGGAGATGCAGGCATTTTAGTTTGTTCTTTCTTGAGGTGCGGAATCCTTCATCCTTCTCGCAAGATTATAATTTTTAAAGGGTAATATTTAAAATTGTACGGCCATGCCTTTCTCCGCAAAAATTTTCACTGTTTCCTGCTGCTCGGCAGTCAACGACACATTCACTTCGGGAATAATATAAGACACTCCTGGGTCGTACACAGTTCCCTTCCTTACTAAAACAAGGTCTTCAAATTCCCTGGCGATCAAACGATATCCGAAATCTTCTACTTCTTTCGCCACTGTCCTGTGCTCAGGTCTCGCTTTCCATTCCATGTAGATTACCTGTAAAAACAAACAACAACGAGTTTCCAGGTTATTAACACGAATCAAAACTAATTTTCAAACGCCTCATAACCTGACAGAATCTCGCATTACAAAAATTTGTCTATGATGAAGAGAGCTAAATAAAAAATTTTCCTACAAACACTGAAAAGATTTGGGATCATTCAGTTTTAGAAAGAGAGCATTGCCTTTGAAGGCGTCCTTGACTGGAACTCTTGAATCTAACCATCTAGTATAATTGGCATAGCCATTACTGAAAATGTATCTCACATCGACGATAAATTTTTTGAAGTCAAAACTGCGCAGGATGTCCATCTCGGCGCCCTCAACGTCAAGCACCCACAGGTCCACATGAGTGATGTTCAGCGCCGTCAGTACGGACGTCAGTGGCAAGCATTGAACCTTCTTGTACCAAGAGCCCGTCACGGCCTGTTTATTTTGAGAACAAATCTGGCATTGTCATCAAAATAGGTTTGTAATATAAACTGTTTACCAGGGCCGTCACAATATTTATAAGGCAGTGGGGGGAAGAGCCCTAAGATTTATGATCATATTCTAATTAATAATGACTGTTTGAATAATTATTTATTTTCATTATATTGAATCTATCAGCATTTCAAAAAAATAATGATAATCGTAATGAATGAACATTAAATTATATAATGCAGCTTAAGAATATCTTTGGGAGGCTGAAGCCCTCCAAAAATAGGCGTAATTACAGTATGTCACTGCTCTCAACTAATGCTTTTCAAAGTATAGACACCATTCATTTTTTACTATACCCCATTTTAATTTTTTTATGCTATAAACAACAATTTTAGCTGGAAGATTAAGGCCCTCAAGCTTGAATGACTAATTGTAATAACAAAAATTGAGTTTTCTGTTCTCTCATGCCATTGCCTGGTTATATCAATTCATATTCTATGAAGAATAGACGAAACGTCGAAAGTTAACGTAACGTTCTTCCTCATTTTCCATGAGATCCAAATTGAATAAGCTCACCGAGCGCTTCATGTAGGCCAGAAGGCTGTGCATTGCTCGGACTTTGAGCCCTGCCGTCAGGACATTCGGACCAGTATAGTGCGAGTGCGACGACAGCATTTCCTGTAACCATGAGATCATAATTTATACCGAGATTGAGTCATGCAAATGAAATTTTTTTATTGTCAATTTCGAAAGCATTGCAAAAATTATTGGTAAGAGATTCGTGAACATGGGTTCCTTCTTAGCCGTTTCCTATAATGGACTGTTTCGGCCAGGAGACATAAATCAAATGAAGTACAATCGTATGTCTATTTAGACCTTTACGTCTGAAATTAACTTCAAAAGGCTTCCTAGAAGTTATAAGTTTATTTTGTAGTCTTTGAGTATTATGACATCAAAATCACGCGCACCCAATGAATAACGAGTGTTTTTAGTGAGAGAACAACATGCAACACATCATTCACACAAATCAGTCAATGTAAAAGCTACCAATATTATCTATTGTGTGCTACCAAAACACGAAGATAACAATATAAACAGCTCACCTGAGAGGGGTATGGATAAGGAGACAAACAAGCGTTGAGAGACCAAGATTTTCTGTTCTTCGCTAAGAGTTTTTCGAAAGAAACAGAGTCTGCTTCGACCAAGAGACCTGACCATCCCTGGTGGGTCTCCAGCCGCAGAGTGTTCGACATGCTTTCCCCGTCCAGGGCTCCTGCTTCAATGAAGATTCCACCTTTCTGGAGCATGTATGGAATAAAGATGAACACATTTTTATATTAACATATACTTCACTGAGGTATCTGATTGAAATATACGCTGGCCCCGTATTTATGAATATAAATACCACAAAACGCCGGGCACGTATCCAGAGTAGGTACTTATCCCGTAGGGATATGCCCTGGTCCGTGAAATTTATTATTAATGAGAGAATAGTAACAGAATTGGGAGTGAAGGATAAGATCAGAAATAAAATTAGATTCTTAAGTTGGAATATATACATTTAGTTTTAATTCATAAATGCATTTCCTTAAATTATTCACCGGGAGTCAAGTAAGGAGTTCCAAGTTTTATGTGAAGCGAGATTTTAAACAGGGCTTTCTTATGTGGACAAAAATCAGTTGTTTTCTCATTAACAGGATTCGGCATAATCACCATGTCACCGAAGAGATGTTTGGTGATGTTCTTGTAGAACCTCTCACTGGCTTCCGGCTTGATGAGAGCCGTGTTACTTTTTCCAAGCAAGTTGTACGGAGCAGCCGAAGGTGGAATGAGCAGCTGAATGCACGAAGCGTGAATGACGTTTTAAATAAATTCATCTGAGTAAGATTACGCTAACGCTTATCATTTTCGAAATTTTACCAAGTGTTTTAATTCATTAACGGGAGATTTTTAACATATCTCATAAGTATCGCATCGCGACTTCATACAGATGTGGTCAATAATAAAAAAATTAACGTAGATCAAGTTTATTTGCCATGAATATCGGAGAACATTCAATGATAAAAAATGGACCTCCCTAATTTTAGGAGCTCAGGGCAAACCTGCATTTGAACTATAACATATTACGAAGAGACCCTGTGGACTCCTGAAATGGGTTGGATTATGGAATTTTCGGTGCAAAAAAATTGATAACGATTGATGTAGTATAATCATTATTACCTTGTGGCGTATGTAGGCTACGAGCTCAGGGTCGTCGTATGGAATAGGTCCTTGTAGGGAGCGTATGAGGTAGTCTGGGTGTCAGGCGGAGATCATTGAGATAAAATCGACACAGGAATCGATAAAAATGTTGGGATAATTGCGCTTTTTTGAAGAAAAACACAACAAAGATCTATTTATTCTATTAGATTCAACTATTTAAGAAATCAATGTAAATTGTAAATATGGTTATCAAGCTGAAAAGTACGATAATTAATCAACACAGAGCCAGAAACCCTGTGTTGAAAAGAATATCATTAAATTATTAATTGAGAATTCAGTTTAGTTGAATTTACTTGAGTATGATGGATGCCACGAATCCTCCAGCAATGTGAAAAAGAAGAGAGCTGTGAAGCAGACACCTGCTACCAGCCGCAAGATGAGTCCTTTGCCGTCGTGACACCTCCATGCTTCCCGGCAACTCTCTATGGTCAGGCTCTTGGTTAGGTTTCAGCACGAACATAATACTAATAATAGCGGTTCCATCGTACATTGGGCCTTATTAGGCATGCCACCGATTCTTAACATCTTAGATCACAGCTTATTGCGGTCTCGAACTCACAACTCACTGCTCCAATTCTCACCGATTCTGACCAGAAACTGTCGCACAGAGCTGGGATCGAACCCGCACCTCTCTGCTCCAATCTTAGTACTCTGAACTGTAGCTAACCACTGGGCCACCAACATGTTCAAATTCTCATATCTATATGTATTTCGGGGAGCGCAGTCGCGGGCAGCAAATTTACTTGCACCAGCAAAATTGTTAAATTTTTGTTAGTCATGCACAGTTCATGAATTCTGGATACTTGGATACCTTATGGCTCACATTTAGTGTACAACAATTTTTGAACCCCGACGAAACGTTCTAGTCTCACCTCGAATTTTTCGTACTCGGAGCTTCCTCAGAACCATGGCATCCGTGCACAGAGTGTTCAATTTCAAAATTTCAATACATTCTGTAACTTATTCAGAGTTCTAAAATATATTAGTCGAATCATAGAAACATAATTACTTAGTTCACCTTTAGGATTATCTTGGCACACTCAAATTCAAATGAAATTAAACTTTTAATTACCGAAAGTGTATTAATTCAATCATGGCGTTTACGTGTATCGGCGGAAGTGAGTTACTATATTAACTAAGAAAACATTAATTACAAATCCTACCATAACCAATCAATGCGCCACTGGCGTTCTAGATACGATAACAGACAGCTTGTAAAAAAGAGTCCTTGTAGTCCAAAATTTGCCACGTACTGGAAACATTTCCGAAACAATGGCTTGCCATGAAAAAGATACAAAGTTGGAGGGTAAAACCTAAGCACCATGGTTAAAAATAATCGCCTGAAATGAATGAACAAAAGTCCAATGTGAAATAAACAGGTGGAATTATTTTCCGTCGATTAATGAATTGAATACCCGGTGAATGAAGTCCGTTCATTAAGCCTTTTCATTTTATAATATGGAATGGATGTTTATAATGTACGAGAGATAAGTTAAATTAATTTACATCAATATAATTTCTACACTAACTCCATTTGTGGAATAGGGACAAAAGAAATAAAATATTTGTTTTGATATTTCGATCGGCACGTAACCGACAGGATCAAAGCTCGCACGGGAACACTACACGGAGGAACTCTGAACCGATGAGGAAAATCAAACATAAATGGCCAAACCGTACGAGGAAAAGTCGAGGTTATTAAAGTCTCAATGTTATTTGGAAGCATCAAACCGTCACCGACAGTATATGGGTGAGCTTTACCGTTTATGAATAATTATTTTAAAATAATTAAGATATACCTCAGCTTATTTTATTCGTGAAGCGCGAATAAAGGGTTACATATAAAAACCACAACAGGATATATAATAGGTCAATCAGATTCTCTTCATGAATAACGTATAAGACACATTTATCGAATAAAATTTGTCCAGTCAAATTAAATTTGTCCAATAAAACGAGGGAATGTACTGAAAAAAGCCTCAGGTTCGATCGGCGTTTATTGAAAAACAATCCTCAACAGAATTAAATTCCTATCAATGAACAAGAAACTTCCGAAAAGGCAACCCTCAGCGAAAACTGAATTACTCCTACAGATTGTTAAAAGTTTATTACACAAATATTCATAGTTAAATAGAGGTATACATTATAAAATTATACAAAGTGCAATGGTAAAACTTATTTTACAAAGATAGATTGGCTCATTTTTACTATTCTAAGTTGCTGATTTTAATCTGAGAAAGATTGAACATTGTTATTCATTAGCCTGGACGATATATAAACTCCAAAAATTAACTAAAGATCCGCTGAGAGCTAATTTTTGAATCAAGAGTACTCGTTTTATTGAAAAATTGTCATAGCCGTTAATTCTCACTTATTATCGTGAATAGCACAGCAAACACAAAATCAGTTACGAAAATATTTATTGGTAGCAGCAACATTTATTTGAATAGCATTTCGATGACAATAAGCTGAATTTTACACTTATTCATCACAGTAGCTAGTAGTAGTATTATTGTAACCTGTTCTAGGATTTTTCATCTGAATATCCATCAACATTTTAATAGGCATGATGTGATACATTTGCGAGAGTTTCATTCAACATGGTTGACATTACGGAACTCCACTTCCAAACTCAAATCACTCGAGTCATCCATCTCGCCATCTCGAATTCTCTTGCAAGACCCAGACCAGATACAGACCCCCAATAGCATGGATATGTGGATAATGACCACACTCTAGTATATGGCGTTGGATACGCTGAAAGAGACGTCACATTCGATGCCCCTTTGGACATGGAATGTGGACTGAGTTGGCTCAGCTTGACTAAACTGAGGAAACGCTGGCTTTGGCTGCTTTTGTTGTGGTGATACAATCCCTGCTTGACTGCTTGGCTGGAACTCGGGCTCTACTTGTCTGTGTTGTGAGGATACAAGCCTTGCTTGATTGCTAGGCTGGAACTCGGGCTCTGCCTGTCTGTGTTGTAGTGATACAAGACCTTCCTGACTGCTAGGCTGAAACTCGGGCTCTGCTTGTCTGTGTTGTGAGGATACATGTCTGTGTTGTAGGGATACATGACCTTCCTGACTGCTAGGCTGGAACTCGGGCTCTGCTTGTCTGTGTTGTGAGGGTACAAGCCCTGCTTGCCTGCTTGGCTGGAACTCGGGCTCTGCTTGTCTGTGTTGTGGGGATACAAGCCCTGCTTGCCTGCTTGGCTGGAACTAGGGCTCTGCCTGTCTGTGCTGTGAGGATACAAGCGTTGCCTGACTGCGCTGCTCAAACGCGGGTTCGGTCTGCCGGTGATGCTGGAATTCAGACCCTGACTGCCTGAGCTGAGGGAACGTAATCTCAGCTTGACTCTGCTGCTGGAATTCGGCTTGGCTGGGGTTCTGGGACGCAAAACCTGCTTCGATGTTCCGCGATGGCAATGGCTCTGCTTGACGGTGCTGCTTGAATGCCGGTCCGGACTGAATGTGTTGAAAAAAATCGGAACGCCTAATTTTTTGGGGGTATAAAGGTCTTTCCTTATTGTCGTCCTTTTCGATTTAGGTTTTTCCATGCAATAAATAAGCGAGAATATTAGAGACATCTATTTTTTCTGTTATAAAATCTTCTTTAAGTGATGGCGATCTATTTGCATGCTATTCTGGGTGGACAGTGTTCGTCACAAGTATCTGCTAACTCGAAATGCTTTAAAAATGGAAATTCCTTGCTGCCGTACCTTATGTCACAGTAATTTGTTGAGTACTTGAACTAAGAACTTTCCTGTAATAAAAATTATCGTCCGCATCATTTTCAGGTTTTTCGGTCGAAAACGTTTACATGTCAGACATTCTCGTGGGAGAGTTTTGTTACACCATAATTTCCTCCGTTTGCAAGTGTTTCGTCGGCTACTACCTGCGATTTTATTCCTGAATTTATTTTCCTTCGTGTTCATGACCCTGCATTAGATTCCAGCCGAAGTGTTCTTGATCTTGAGATTCCACGTAGGGCGTTGAGTGTTCACTTTCTTCTACAGAAGATTCATTTTACCTAGCCTCTGTAATATTTCTTTGGGTTTCCTTGCTATTTTCTGACAAATATTTGGACTAAGACGCTGCGTCTATTGAAATACGCGCTTAATTATTGATCTCAACAATACTTGATATATCTGCTTGCAGATCTTTTTCATCCCCTGCGTGCTTATTTGAGACAGTCGGTTCCTAATTTTCTGTCACGGGCTCGAAGAGATTAAGGAAAACACATTCGGGATCTGGTTCCGCGATGAGCAATTCCGTGCGTTTATAGGCATCATTCCCGGCATCACGGCTCACATCACGAAGATCGCTAAAGCCGTTCAATGGAATGTTTTCCTTCATTCTCACGGCGAGCTGAGTAGCGGGCATGCTCGTGTCTATGAAATTATATAAATACAGCGTCATCCCATCCCACGCGTTTATAACTTGTCGATCACATCCAGTCGACAGAAGATCCTAGCCTGGCAATAATAAATGAACGGCCGTAGAGATGAGAGTTTTTTCCATTAAAACTATACCCGCCATTTTTTGAGATTGTTGTCGCGTCGGTGTCTCATCATATTTAGTTCGCCAGAAGTTTTGATTAATTCCGCTTTGTGGAATGCTTGGTTGAGGCTAGAGAACAGTCCTATTCGCTACGCGAACAGCTTTCTTTTCAGAGCTGTATTCATCAGACACTTCTATATAAAGTATCACAGCTGTTTCCTCGTCCCCTACTCGGCATTACAAAAGCGAGTTCGATTAAACATTTGGATTAAACAACGTCTTGTGTTTCATCGTTACAAGGGTCCATACTCCGGCGTTCAAAACCGACAAGTTTTATACTCTATGCCACTGATTTTCATCTCCTTCTAGTACCTTGAAGATGACGTCAGAAGTATTCTGCAAACATGAGAAGGCTGCGGGAAAACCTCGTGGCACTTTAACCGTCGAGTTGGCTGGTAGAGGATCTGACGTGACGTCGCTGAAGATACCAAACGAAGGCTGTTCAATCGTTCCTGCAACACCATGCCGAAGTGCGGTGGATAAGGGCTATGCAGCCACATCCTCGCAGTTCTTCGATCCTCTCTACAAGACAATTATCACCAGGCACAGAATAGAAATAATCGCTGGCCGAAGTCTTCTCATAATGAATTAAGTTTAGATGATCAATTATTGGCAGAAATGAGTAAAGCGTGTTCAGGCTTAGGCTCTTTACTTAAAACCCATAGTATGTGTGATACGCAAGCGACATGAAATTTATTTCAGGTATTATTTTTTACAGTCCCTGTAATTCTTGCATGCATTTTCTTGCATACAGAGGACAGTATCAGATATAATTCAATATTATATATTCGTGGAAATTAAGTTTCTTAGGTTATAATTTATGGAGGGGAACCAATAAACTCCCAGGAAACGTCTGGTGCATGCGAATATTGAATATTGTGCACAATATTCAATTGCAGGATATTTAAGCCGAATAATATTTTTAGGGCAGCTACCGCATCTTGGATACAAAATGCAGAAAATTCCAACTCTGCTTTCCTATAATCTTTCAACAATATCATGTCGTAAATGAGTTGTTCTTCTGAGACTTTCTAAGTTAATTATCGAAACAAGTTCTTTTTCTTTGTAACACATAAAGCTGCAAAATAGCAGAATTGCAATATAATGATAATTATCTATAACTTCATGAAGTTCTCTATGAAGGCTCATTTAAGCTAATAAGTTTGTAAGATTTTGCATGTATAAGCTCAGGAAATATTGACAGTGTATAATTCCAATATATAGCAACAATATTAGAAATTATAAAATGCAGAAAAGACAAAGTCACGAAACCAAACCACGGATGAAACAGATGTCAAGGCGTCACTAAAAATAAACATGAAAACGCAAACATTAAAATAAACTATTTATTAATAGGAAACGATGTGTTCCTAAAATAATATCAAATTAAAATTAAGACTGAGTGAGAATATTATCACGAAATTTTGTGTTTGAAACAAAATTTCTAACAATTGACTGTGAAGTCGTTAGGCAATTCATTAAAATATTTTTGCTGTTAAAATCATTACCGTTGCTTTCGAAGTTTAAGTTTAACTCAGAAAGAAGAGTGGGTCATATTGTCCAAATAGAGACACATTTGCTGCACTTAGGGATAATACTGTTTTTTGCCGGACCAAATTGGGTCAGGGCGAGTCACACACTGGCAAAAATCGCAAGCATATTCAACGATATTGGGAGATATTGTCTCTTAATTCTCTGAGTGTAAATCTGTGACAAAGATAGAGCCAACCGCCCAGGGCCTATACTTTAAAAAAAAGTTAAGAGATCGTAAGTTCATCAGCCAATCATTGACGGCCTTTCAAGCAAAATCCACCA